ATAATAATAATAATAATAATAATAATAATAATAATAATAATAATAATTGTAGAGTTGTAATTGCAGGAATGTCTTTATCTTGGATGGAAACCTCAGAGAAAAGAATGTTTCCAAGCAAATACAACTCAGGCAAACAAAGTTACTCATCTAAAGGAGGATTAGAGAGAGGAAGTAAACATATGTTGGACTTTGACTAGAGATCATTAATTGTGTTAGTTACTATGCTGAACAATAACGAAAGTCAAGCAGAAACCAAAGTTAACCAATGTTGGAGGATAACTAAAAATGTGTATAAATGCAAGATTAGATTCCAATAAAGATCATCATGAATCAGTTGATCATGATCAAACACCTCGACTGCCTCGTCATTAATAATAATAATAATAATAATAATAATAATAATAATAATAATAATAATAATAATAATATAATAATAATAATAATAAATATTTTGGCCAGGGTAGTTAAGCAGTCCAGGTTCCCTCTGTTGAGTGAACTCCTTTTTTTTTCTGCTTCCCCTGAATCCGGCCCTGAAGATTCCTAATAGCCAATCCTTCCCAGGGCTGGGGCTGATGGGACTTGGACTCCAGCTCCTTTGGGGAAGGAGACAGAAAGGGGAGGGATAGAGAAGGGTGAGGCGGGAGAACGGAGCCGAGAGCGAAATGCAAAACGAGAGAAGAGAGCCACGAACTTGAAAGGCGTTGGCAGGGCCAAAATGGGGCAAAGGACTCCATCCCCCATCATCCTTTCTTGGAAGGTGAGGTTTTTAGCAGCCCCCACCCCCTCCCCTCCCCAGAATATAAAGAGTGGGGGGAGGGAATTTCCATCTGCCCAGGACAAAATGGGTCCATTGTCCTGCAAAATTTGACCTTCTGCTTTCATTCTCTTTAATATTTGCGCCTTTGCAAAATTTTCAGGCCTGATTCCGGCCTGCACGGCAGCAACGGGGGGGGGGGGGGGGGGGGTTATTCTGTCTTTTTTTTTTTAATGGGTTTTGTAATCCAGGGAAATGAGGATTTTAAAAAGCCCCTCCTTATAGGGTCCCCCCTCCAAGTTTTGGGATGAAAGGGCTGATGGATCAATTTTGTGTGAATTTCAGCCTCCTCTTTTTATTTTATTTTTATTTTTTTTCACCCCTTCTGGAAAGAAACAACAGGATGAAGATGAAAACTTTTTGTCCTGTTGTTATTGTTGTTGTTAAACAATGCAAACCTTCCATTGATTTACCATCAAAGTGTGGCTGTATCGCCAGAGGGAGAATGTTTTATTTATAAGCCAAGCAGCGTTTGCCAAAAAAAAACAAAAAAAAAAGCACTCAGGCTAAGAGGAAGGTGGAAGAGGCTAAAGGGAGACAGGATGGCTTGCATCGTAAAGCAGAATTTTGTCCCTTCAAAATACAAAATAAATAAATAAATAAATGCAAAGAAGAAGGGGAGGGGAAAACGTGCAAAATTCAAAATAAATAAATTGCAAAGAGGAAGCGGAGAGGAAAACGTGCAAAGATAAAAATTAAAAAAAATTGCAAAAAGGAAGGGGAAGGGAAAAACGTGCAAAATTC